AAAAATACTTTATTAAATATATTAAATATTCTAATAATATAGTTAATGATAAAATTGAGTAGCTATTGGAGTTAGATTAATTTTTTAGAGATTTTAATTTTTAATACTTTGTTTAAAAAAAAGTTATAGCATAACACTCGGAGATGCTATTAAGTTGCAAGATGGAGCGCCTACATGATACGGACGGAATAATATCAGATCTAATTATCAAGATAATCATTAGCCGAGGGAAGTCTCAATGTACTTTTTTCATTTTCTTGCTACTTACTGTTGTTACCTTTTCGCTCACAACTTTTCACGGAAACATTCTGCTCCACCCTTTCACGGGAAGGCGAGGTATGTGTACATCCCCCGGTCCTACTTTCGAGTAGGATGTAACTCGGTTTGTTTGGTATAACCAAGAGAGGTTTCATATGCCTTTAAAAACTATAAGAATCGACTCTACATGGATATTAACAAGGGAGTTTGATTATTGGCCGTAGGACTGAAAGTTTATTTCTTTTCTTTTCGTGGGGGCAGGGGTAGTTGTGGCCAGGTACGGGTTTTAGCTCAAAACCTATGTATTCATTATGGTGTTTTGAGACCGATCCAATAACCTTCAAATCAACTTAAAACCATGATATAAGTTATTAGCAGCCTACAACTTAACGCTTACAAGGAAGGTCATGGTTCCAAGCCCAAACCAATAGGCTGAACCAATATTCTCCAAATTAACTTAAATGTGAAAACTATTAGTAGCCCACAACTTAAGGCTTAGAACGAGCTCATAGATCTCACCCTTTGTCCCATGTAAGATCAATTGTCATAGTAAGATAGTTGGGTGGGAGAGAAACAAGGATAAAGCATCCACCATGACAAATTGGTGACCAATTCCGTGTTTCAGATATGAAATCTAGATAACTGACTCCTAGATTCAAACTAAAGTGGATCTTATGGACGAAGCTCAAGACAAACACGTCTTAATGGTGATTATGGGGAAAATAGGGAATTTTAACTTGAACTTCACTCAAAAGGGAAATGTTGGAACTAATATGGACATCAAAATGTAAGAGTTAAGTAAGTAATACTTTACCTATCATAGAGTCCTGCACCAGCATAGCCTTCGAGATCTTCGCCATTAGAATCTGATCGGAAGATAATGGATCTTTTTATGAAAAGGCCAATGGGTTTGCTTGGGTAGCCTAAAACCTGCACAATCCAACAGGGTTATTGCCAAATGGATGTCTTACAATGATGGCATCAGTCAAACACCCACAATTCCAATCACAAGAACAAAAAATTGATATTCGCATGGTTGAGCAATTTCTTTGCACCCAAAGGGCGATGCTGGGATTTCGTTATATGATTCATGGATTATGTTTCAGCACAAAAATTGGCAGCATTTTTACAAATTTGAATTAGGCGATATCCAACAATAATATGTTGTATTGTGATCATCTGTTATCTTTATAAATGGACTTGAATAAGGCAATTGCATTTGTCCAATGGTTGTAAAAACAACTTTATTCCTAAAAAAATGCAACTCTGGGAACAGATTACAGCAAACATACTATGTACCTTAGGAGAATCAAGTTTGTCTTTCTTGACTATGAAACTCAACGCCCGACCTGGATAAGCTCCTACCAGAGTCTCCCCAAGACCCTTTACAACCTGTAGCATAACGGACAGTTATAGACCCATATTATGATTACCTAATCCTACGAAAAGTAAATGCAATGTTTCATGACGCAGTTTAATGCACGAGTTTCGACAAAAAAAATTAAAGTACCCTCTAGAATGACAAAATAAGGGAGTTTTCTATACCAAAATCATTCAAACTAATATATTGTAAGGGTTGATAATAGGTAAAGTGGTAATCATGAATTCACACTTTGCAAAAAGGGGAATTTTGCATTCATTGGGACAGAGCCTATTTCGGAATCAGCATGTTACAGCTCCAAGTTCTTAGCTATTGCACCCTATCCCAACAGATTTTCACAGAAATTTGTCATGATCTTGGAAGCAGAAGTTGTTCTCTTCATGTTGATATAATACAAATTTCTAGGTCAAATGATTTAGAGCAATCTCCAACACATTCTCCAAAATGGAGAATGGAACTTCAAAATCTCTAAAACAAAAATACATTCAACTCCAACAGATTCTCCATTTTGGAGATTACAAGATTGATTATATCATTAAAATATTCCTTTTATCTAATAAAATATTATCTCTCTGTAAATATTTATTTTCAAAATTTTCTATTGGTGGAATTATATTAAATAATATCTCTCTCGTTGTAATCATTTTTGGGGTGTTCTCCAAATTTGGAGATTTTTACACCCTCTCTCCTCTACTTTCTCCATTTTGGAGAAAGGTTTGGGGAATCTGTTGGAGATGCTCTTACGAGCAAGGTCTTCTCTAAGGTATACTAGCCAATGATACGGATAGTTACCGTATTTAAACATTGGTCAAGTGCATGAAGATGAATTTAAATACTTAAAAAAAATAAGTGAGATTAAATAACCTCGGCGTATATTTCTGATGAATCTCCTGAAGATGGATTCGTGGTATGAATTACAAAAGCGTAGTCGGCATTTATTATTTCTTGAACCAAGACAGCCATGCATAGGAGGTCATGATCTAGTTTCACTTTTCTCGTACTGAAGTATGCTCTTTCATTCCATTTCGAAGCCCAAACCTGGAAGATGACAACCAAATGTATTCCTCATGTATATTAGCGTGTGTAAATGAATTGATGGACAACCTTGGATTTTCTAAACCTAATGCTGGAGAAATGGTAGATCGGTTATCATAATAAGCAAAGTGGAAATTTTCTTTAGAAATGAAAGTGAGAATAAAAGCGATCACTCTGTGCAGCGTCCAGTTATCATGGTGTTCTCTACAACCAGAAGGATGGGTAATAAGTTCCCTTTTGGAGCTAACAGCAACATAAAAGCAGCTATAGGTATTTATCATTATAGGACCTCCCAACGGGGTTGGTTGGCCTAGGAAAGTTACTCCTGGCATCATAAATTAGGAACCATGCTCTTCTAACCTTCTTTATAGCAATCCATGCTTGTTCCCATCTCTGCTCACCTTCATCTCCAGGCCACGGCATATCAGAGCTTTGCATTTTGTTTTTAAGCTCTTGTACCTAAAAATAATGATCTGCATTATCAGTTTTTTTGCAATTTGAATTGAGAATTGTAAAACCAAAATCACCAGCGATGAAAGGATCGAAATGGAACTTACCAGATGGGGTGGTGCAGCAAGCTCCAAAACCGTCTTGCGGATCTCCACAAGGACATCAAAATCTCCTGCTACTAACTTTTTCTTCAATATTTGGAGCTTTTCTGACACCCCCTGCAAGTTTACTGTATTCTTATACAATCTTATGGCATTTTTATATAATAAAGCACCAAAATCGAAAAGGAAAAATGAAAGTAAAAATAAATGAGAATTGGAAGTATGGAAACCATGATGGACTCATGAGAAATTCTGGATAATATAAAACTGCAGGAACCGAAGTATCAAAAAGAGAGTAGAACAATTAACAGTCATACAAGCATGCATCATGGCCAAAAATGTGGTGCATTTGACCTGTCGCAAATCGCACAATTCAGTTGTTGGTTAATTTTAATCAAAGCATTGGGTCTTTCTAGTTAAAACTTACATTGAGACCATAGAGCTGTCATGTACCTAATACATTACACCAACAAAATCAACATAAAACCAAGGCTGAAACCTAATCTCATGTCTCACACCATAGCTAGTTTTCTGTTGATACCATGCTAGCCCTATGTACTGTGACCACTAGGAAAGGAGAAATGAGAAGTCAAATTAAGACATGAAATATCTAGATAAAAGAGAACTTGAGAGAGGTTTTACAGTTTGAGGAAGTTGCCAAAGAGAAACCATTAAGTTTAAATTCTCAAATCACCTAAATCATGCACATTTCCAAGTGGAAGTATCATGTCCAAATTATACCAGTTTCCGTATATTGAAGAGCTACAGCAACGAGACTTCATTCAAAACAAACTTTTGCTTGTAAACACATTTGGTTGATCTACTGAAATTAGAAGTTGCCAAATGGCCCTGGCATGTTCCCTTTACCTTCCCACTTTATTGGTCGAAACCTAAGAAACAAATAGGGTGTCTGATTATATTTTGTCAGAGTTTAGTCTCATCTAGGCTGATACTGCTTTCCAAAAATGTTCTTAACCCACCAACATATATGTTCCATGATTAGTGTCCACTAAGGGGCCGTTTACTAAACACTTACTTGGTAAGTGCTTAACACCATAAATTTCCTTATCGGATGAACATGAGAAGGGCCAAGAATCTTACCGGGTAAGAGCGATGAGAATGATGGAGAGTCTTACCCGGTAAGTGAGGATGGCGACTCTTACCCAGGCAAGCGCTTACCCAATAAATTGTTGCATTCGATATGTTTTGATGTACTAAAATCTTACGCATCAAAATAAATTATAGTGTTAACTCCTATTGGTAAGCGCTTACCGGGTAAGCATTTGGGCAAACTTGAAACAGTGTAATCAAATATGCATCTTTCATCAATGTAAATTCTGAAATGTTGGATTCTAGCTGATGAATAGAGGGAGTATCTAACTAACAAATCACCCACAAAGAAGCAAAAGCCTAAGTGTCCAAAATCGTTTCCCATGGACACCCATGTTATATTCTGAGAACAATGGCATCTCCTCTCAAAATATTCTTATTAAGTTGCAGGGGAGGATAGAGACCTTCATAATGACTACACAGAACACTGAAGTTGTCTCAACCATGAATATAAATTTACAAATATGGATTACCTTATTCAGTTCATCAGAAAGGACTTCCTCGAAAACTCCAAAAGGTAATGCGACTGATGTAGGAATGCCAACCCAAGATGGGACTTTTCCTTTGAGGTAGGCGATATTACGTGATTTAGCTCCAACCTTAAGAAGTTAAAAGAAAGTGAATTATAAAATATATATTGAAGATTGCAAGACACAACAAGGTGGAAAAATATATTGGAATTTGGAAAGTGAGAATATTGTAATGTAAATACAGTGTAAACCTAACCATTTCACTCGTGAACTCCTCAGACGATATGGCAAATTTACCAGCAAACTGCTTTTTGACCAATTTAATGCTTGGTGATGGACCAACTTCTTCTGAGTTATTTGATCCTCTTAGATCTCCCTCCTGCACCTCACTAACATCATATACACACAGGGCAGAGAGAGTGAGTTCTGCTAGCTATCATGCACTCTATTGAATTATGTACAACTAAGACTACTAGAAGATTAACATTGAGATTTAGCAAGCAGCAGGAAAGGAGTCAAGGACTACCTATAAGTTATATCAGCTGATGTAGGTTTTAGTTTCAACAATTTCCCCTCTTTGTCTTGAAGGTCGTCCAAAATGTTGGTGTCAAAACATGTTGCGAAGCAAACCTGCAACGGAAAATGCAAATCATCTTCAGAAGGCATACCTCAAAGGTAAGGTGTATTTCGTATCAATTTCTATATAATACTATGAGTAAATGATATTCCTGTATTAAATCAGTACTTTGCTGTTTCTTGCTCGAACGGAAACATGAGATAAAACATCTGGCATGTCAGGTGTTACTACCGCAACTGCACCATCAGGAATTTCCTCCTCTCCCCTCACGGACTTTGCCACTAAAATAGTTGGCAATGCATAAGATTCATTTTGAACAGAAAGTAACTCATCAACGACCACAATATATCCAATAGCTTCAACTGGGCTGATAACCTGCCAACTGTACGTGGGAAGGAAAGTTGCATTTAAAAGTTGTTTATGGTGGAATGACACCATTAGACATCATAAAGCTGCACATTTCATAAACTAGCATAAATCTGGAAATTTTGTAATTATAAATAACTAAGAATTTAATTAAAAACAAGGCAGTGAGATCAACCTCCCCAAATGAGCCACATTGCGAAGAATAGGGTCAAGTCGATTAACCAGTGATGATAAAGATGCAGCTGATCCCGCACGAATCATTTCTTCAGTGAATATGCTTACCTGCATGGATTATAAGAGCAAGTTAGATCAAGATAGTTGCATAGAATTGAAAAGGATGGAAATAACATAAACAGATCCTTATATTATATAGAACAACTTCCACATTCAAAAGAAGAAAAAAAGATCATGACACCATATCGTACCGCCCATTGGTCCAATCCAAGTCGTGACCCAAGGTACTCGGCAGAAGGTTGCAATAGTTGATGATACAGCTCTCCCTTGCTCGCAAGTGCAAGTCGGGTTCTATCAAGGACTGATTTTGCAAATAATGCCCAACTACCATCTCCAGTCTCCAACATGCTTATTGCTTGATTCCATCCCTTCAAAGCAAATATTGACAGAGGATTTTAGTCATTTAGTATTTTGAAGCAACAATCAGTAGTAACGAATGATCCCAAAAAGATTATTCACATACTAAATTATGACATCTGAAGACACAAACAATATAACTGGTCAAGAAAACAAGTTGGTTCAACAAGTTTACCATCCTCCTCTAACACAAAGAATGGGAGAACAATATGATTAGATAGGTTACAGAAATTACCTTTAAGCAATAGATCAGATCCTCGTTGTTGTCTGATGAGAGTATGAGGTTCTCGAGAAGAAGGGTGATTAAGTACATAACTCTCTGCCAAAACATTAAGGTCAACCTTAAGATATTTATGATGTACTTAAAAAACGACATCTTTAATTAACCACCAAATCAGAGGATAGAGGATGACAATCCTAATACACAACAAATGCATAAAGGGGTTTGTGTGACAAATATCGATGTGCTAACCGAATGGCGCAACACAGGAAGGAAAAATAGATACAAAACCTGCTGAAAATATGATTTACCTCTGGCTCAGCATTGTTCAACTCCTCATAGCTCCTTTCAATGGCTGTCCTTACAGTAGAATCCAGGGCAATGTCCAAAAAGAGGAGATCCTTCAAACGGTCATTTGGTTTAGACAGTAATGGCCTAAGTTCCTCACGTGCCTCTAGCAGTCCCTGGAGAAAAGAAATCATTACGTTTTTTGTTATGGCAAGAGAACAATACAGAATGGGCAAAGGGCCATTGGCCCAACGGTAACCGGTAACCCCACCTTTGTGGAGGTCAGGGGTTCAAGTCTCACCAAAGGTGAGAAGTGTGTGCGAGTTCAATTTGCCGTTAAAAAAAGTTAGGTACTGCAGCCTGAAAGAAACTTTTGAGCACCTCAAGAAGGGTTTCCACGTTCTTATCTTCAACATGCTCTAAAACAAATTGAAGCAGTTCCTGTTTGAAACCTTGTGAGTTGCACGGAAATCATGGAGTTCAAGAAATTTCTCCCTAAATGATTGACAATACTAAAGATTACAACCTAAAGATGATTACCGGAAATCCAGATGGCAGACCAGAAACAGGATTTATGTTCACCCCAACCATGAATCCTTGTCCCTGAAATTATGAAAAAATAACAAAAAATTGAGGTCCCTCTTTTCAACAGATTTAGAGTAAGAAATCTATCATGTTGAGAAATATGACCAAGATACTGGCATTACCTCAGATTTATAGCCCATACAGTTTGATATTGCAGACTCAAGATCTGCACCTGAATGAACTGCCTGCACAAGGTGAGAGTGCGACAAAAGATTTGAGAGCTTGCAGAAGATTGAGCTAAAAGACAAAATAGAAGAAAAGAGTCTGAACCTTCAATGTTCTCATGTAGCTCCCCAGATCATGCAAAAGGCTGTTCTTTTGGTCTCTCCTGAAGTTTGGCTCATGGTGAATGGCCCGATCATAACTTAAAAGTCGTTCTTTTGTTATTCCATTTGAATTCAGAGTGTTCCAGTAAACACTGATGTCAAAGTCACTTTTAATATAATCAATTAGTGCCTGCAACAAAGTGAGTAACAATGTGTCAACATTTTTGGCATATTACAAGTTTCAAAGAATTTAAATTAGCTTGGCATGCAATATACCTGACAGATCACTACATCATCAGGGCTCGTGTTATTATGCAGCTTCTGATGCCATTCTTCCATCATTCCGCCCGCACAATCATTATTTCTCTACAGTTGGCCAATAGGTGAACATTAGCTTCGACTGAAAGGAGATTTAAGAAAATTTAATGACAAGAACATGATATAGAGTTTTCTGCTACCTGGATAACCAAGATTTCGTCCCGTATGCGCTGCCCAACATCCCCTTCACCTCCACGCCCAACAGTTGACATGATCATTCTCAGAAGTTCACTATATTGTGGATAATCCACGTAAACATTCTGAAGCAAGTCTGTTAGCCTATCCTGAGCTCTGCTTATCTCACTGCACAAACATAAACATGAAGACCAGGCCAAAAATTAGGATGAGGCTTTGATCATGCATTTGAGTCAGAACAGCAACCAAGATGCTTGAGAAAAAATGTATTTTATGGGAGAACCAATTTTGTTATGTGCACAAGATACATCAGAACCAATGGAGTTGTAGCTGACAAGAGAGATGAACATAAATGAACTTGCAAACGATGATCATTTGCACGCCTTACCGTGGCTTTACATTGTAATTTTTATTCCAAATTAGCTGTCTTGTGGCCATAAACCGCATCCATACAAGAATTGCTGCAAGACCCAACTCACCAGTGTCCTTGGCTTCTTCCATCAAATCTGCTGCAATGTTAAACCTGAGGGGCAGGAAGAATTCATGACTAATTAAGTAACATATGAAAGGAGGATTCACAATGGAAGTATAGCTAAACCATGAATGCCGGTACGTCAGGTCACAGCAACTAGAGCCACATGGGGTAGAAATATGGCTCATCATGACACCTTAAAATCCTTCAAACGCTTTATAAAAATTTCCACTCAAACCTAGCAAATTGCTCAAGTTTCAAGCCCTAAGCATACACATATTATCTTTTCCCTCATTCTTGCCCTAAGAATCTATCAATTTTGCAGAATGTACAAATGCAGATGTAGAATCTCCCAAGGAACAACCTCATGAATGATGGTAATATAAAATATTAAAGAATATTCACAAAATATTTCATCAACCCTTTCCTATTCTATCAAAAAGCACACCGTTAAAGTGCCCTGCAAAAATCTTAGGCGAGTCTGTATTTTCTAGTGACTTGACCAGCTTATGCAGAAGAAGTTGTAAAACAACAGAGAACTATGGTGCCAATCCCTCATAACCTTAACTTTTGTGAGAGAGAATTGCATGTGTGTTCTCAGCCAATAAGAAGGGTACTCGAATTCATGGCTGAATCAGCAAGGCATAGAGTTTTAAAACTCTGCTGAAGTTTGTAGCTCCTTACACGCCACACTATTGACAAAGCAGCACAAGTCTTTCCAGATATCTCACAAGGGACAAGATCAAAGTATGTGGAATAGAACAGGATGATTTTTGAAGAACAGACCCTCTTATGTAAATGTAAATAATGAGATATCTAAAGTATGAATTAGAACTAGAATTAGAATCTCAACCGTTGAAATTAAAAGAGCACTAACCTATGCATAAAAGACTTTTGTGCCTCACTTTCCAGCCCTGCTATTTTATCCAATAAGGCCTTAGCAGTACCCTTCCCATCACTGGCATCCTTCACAAGGAAAAAAGACGACCACGGAAAAGGAAATATTGGAATAACTAAAATACATAAACGGACATAATGTAAACTATATTAATTCCTTAGAGAGAGAGAGAGAGAGAACCTTTATTGCCTTCTTGGGTCCAACGAATTCAACGTAAAAGTCTGAACCATTATTCTTGAGCCATTTTTTACCAGAAAAAAGAACAAATGGCATCCCCACAAAACTGCCCTCTCCAATTTCTATCTCTAACGACTGTATCTGTTATACACAATAATGCAGCCGTAATTGGAATGGTAATAATGATAGACCCTTTATTTCATCTAATAGCTTTCTAAAAAACGATTCATAAAATACTAGTTGGGTACCCGCTCAATACAGCGGAGGAGCTATGAATTTTAACGATTTTGAAGTTTTACTGGTTTTATAAGATAAGATTTAATGATGATATAGGTTATACTTGGTCTTTACATATTAATACAATTTGGATAAATAAGAGTTATGGTTCCAATTACATACTATCGATGAAAAAAATTGTATGACAGTTTAAAATTCAATATATTTAAAATCCAACATGTTTAAACGACTCCACAAATGTATTTGATTTACACCAAGAGCAAAGAACCAAGAAACTTGAGTTTTAAGATAAACACTCAAAAMYAATARAGWAAACTAYAAATTTGACAGATCATAAGCCATGAAAAGACAAAAAAAGATGGGTTTTAGAATGAAATTTCAACTGCTTACCCTCTTTTTTGTCCAGAAACTCAGATTAAGATTGAATTAATACATGTATATATATATTTCAAAAAAACCCAAAGAACATATTAATTCAAAACATATTATACAGTGCAATTTAGATAGCCTAACCCCAAAATATATTGTATATATAAATAAATAACTATAAAAGTATAAATCGTAAATATTAAAAATATTTTTTCACAGTATATATAATAATATAATTAAGTCAAAAACTATTCAATATTGGACTCATTTCGAAGGTATTAACGAGATGATTATAATGGTGTAACTTGTTAAAATAAAATTTTATTTTTTAAACATGTTTTAATTGATATAGATTATGTATGTTAATTTGATAAATGTTTAAAATGAATCATTTAGAAGTAAAAGACGTAAAATAAATTAATTAATTAATTATAGGGATATAAAATGTAAATTTAAAATTATAATTTTAAAAAAATTGGTTGCGAGAGGGTGAGTGTATGTGAGGAGAGGAGGGGGTGAAAAAGTAAAAAAATGAAAAAGTGAGTATAAAGGGTAGTATATATAATAATATAATTAAGTCAAAAACTATTTAATATTGGACTCATTTCGAATGTATTAACGAGATGATTATAACAGTGTAACTTGTTAAAATAAATTTTTATTTTTTAAACATGTTTTAATTGATATACGATTATGTATGTTAATTTGATAAAGGTTTAAAATGAATCATTTAGAAGTAAAGGACGTAAAGTAAATTAATTAATTAATTATATGGATATAAAATGTAAATTTAAAATTATAATTTTAAAAAAATCGGTTGCGAGAGGGTGAGTGTATGTGAGGAGAGGAGGGGGTGAAAAAGTAAAAAAATGAAAAAGTGAGTATAAAGGGTATTTTGGTCATTTAATATTTTAAGACTTTAAGACTTTTACTAAATTTGTTTAATAAGATAGTATAGATATATCTTGGCAGACCTTGTTAGCAGAATCATCAATAGAGAGAGTAGAAAACTGTGTGTCAGCAGCTCCAACTAAAGAAGTAGACCCTTGTGGTAACAAATTTTCAGGCGGTGCCTGCAATATGAACATCAATTGTATTACTCTCTTTAGGACGTGATGGATGTGCTCAAGTAGAGAACTTTATCATAATCTGTTTAAGGCAACATGAACCAGATAGAAATGTAGAAACTTGCCAGCCACTCCCCAGCTTTCTTTGACAATGCCCAGTGAAGGGTGAGTGGCTCCTTCATGCCTGTAGCCAAATGAACTCTTATCTTACTAGAAGCCTTTGTTACAAGTACCTACAACATACAAACGTTTTAGACATCATGCAATTACTTTCCTGCAGAAGAACACCAAATAAGCAAGGTGATCCTACCGAAAGCTCCTCGTCAACAAGTCTGTACGTCTTTTTGCTAAGAACATTTATGCCTTTTTGTTCCTCTATGGCATTGGTGTAAAGTTCTACTGCAGACAAAGTTTTTGGTTTCATGGAGACTTCTTCCTCTACAGATTTTACAGAAACTGGAATATGTTTGTTGAGAAGTTGCATGAGGTCTCTCTTCTTCCGCTGAATCCTATGATTGAAGTTATGTTTTTTCTCCGGCGGCTTTTGAACCTTAGTTTGTATCTCTCCTTTGGTAATTCTTTTCCTTATGTCGTCAAGAGAAGTTCCCTTATCCACTTCCTTCTGCAAATCTTTTCTTGCTTCTTCAAATTCTATCTGTTACAAAAGCATATAATCAGTTAAAAGTACAAAAAACATCATGGAGTACATGGTAAGTAGCAAGGGTGGCCCTCTCCTGCTTATTTTAGGACCCCAGATGGTGAAACCCACATAAAGGCCTTAGTTATTTTATCGGAGCCAACATCAACGGATATGAAATGCATCTATTCACCATCAGATTTGAGAAAATACAAGTGCAATAGAAAAAGTTTGTATGGAGATTTACAAGCTGTTGATCTGCAGAAAAGTTTGGTTTCCCTGCTTTCTCCCAACGTATATAAGCTTGTATTTGTGCAAGATCATCAGGTATGTCGCTCTTTCTTGTGGAACTTGGGTCCAAGACGCCAGTTTGTTCTGAAGTTGTACCATCTTTTTTGGTTAGCCTTGCTCTTATGTCCTCTATGGAACTACCCCTAGCAATTTCCTCGTATAGTTCCGCACGAGCTGCTTCATATTCAACCTGTGATTTTTTCAACTACTTCAGTACCATGAATAGCCAAATGCGAATCAGGTATTGAAGATTCGGCAAGGGTATATAAACACCATATACTAGTTCTGCTGGCTAGCTAGCCTAGCTTGAACCTCTAAGATCATGTTATGAAAATTTTAAAATATTTTATGCGAAGTTAATGGAATAATTCTATCATTGCACCATATGAGACATCTTTCACACTACACAGGCTATTGCTCTTCAACAGATAAAGCCAGCCATGCAGCTTTATGCAATATTATCCCATTTAGTACATGTTTTAGCAGGGAAGGAATCAAGGATGTTATGAAGAAAACAGCCTTCCCGCATCAACAGTTTGATATATTCACCAAGTTAAGGTAAAGACCCTTTCCACCCCTGTTCCGGCCTAGTGAAATTGTTGTGTTCTTCCGTTCGTTGATTCTTTGTGTGTCTATATGCTAGTACTTGTTACCACCTGCCACAATCTGTTCCAGTCTTTGTTGATCTAATCCTAGATGTCATCGGGTGTAAATCCTAGTTTGCATAGGAGGTCTCTAACCAGATCCAACTCCAATGGAAGACCCATATCAACTTATTCTGAGGCAAGTTGATGATAGATATCTCTCCATCTTTAGGAGTATTGATAGATAGTAGTTCAGTTAGGTTTCTGTCATGTTCACGTCGTTGTGCTATTTTTGATCCACAAGGCACAAGCCCATCTTGTACATAATATGAGTGGTTTTCCCTTGGTAGCAAGACATTTCTAACCCTATAGCTTTAAACCAATCACAACTTTATTTATTTAGTGAGTAGAATAATTATATGCTTCAAACATTCATCTTGAATTGCATTATGTCCCACTTCTCAACTGGCATTCGTTTGACCAGTTCACACACATGTTGTATGTAAGCTATTCTCTGAATCTGCATCAAGTAGATCAATAAAGACAACATACAAGATCTGTGAAACTTTACTTGCCTTCTCCTGTTCTGGGGTGTACATTTGTTTTCCCTTCTTCTCCCATCTCAAAAATGCTTGAACTTGTACAAGGTCTTCAGGAACTACATCTGAGACTGGCTTTTCCCTTGAAGGCAGCTTAACGTGGAAGTTTTGGCCATTATTTCTGTACCTAAATGGGGATGGGACGGAGGCATGGAGATTGACAAAAAGTTGAATAAGCACTTCAACACCAACAAATCTCAAAAAGACAGGCTTACCATTTATTCTTCCCTTCATCTACTATTAGGAACTCTAAAGCTTGAATCGAAGGATCGTCAATCTCTACTTTCAGGAATAAGTTGGAACCAGACTAGGAGAAAAAAATGAATAGACATAAGTTAGTTGGTTTTTACACCAACAGGAACAAGAAATTGTCCTCATGCAGTATATCGACTAGGCTCCAAAAATGAATTTCACGTTTTAACAGTAATTTACTTTTACAAAGGGAGTTCTAAGAGCCCTCTCCTTGTATACTTTAGTCCCTTCAGGACGGTGACCGGGAAGTACCCATTTCCTGGAGAAATGACGGAAAAAATCTTGTCAAGGTGTAAACAAATGCTAGACCTAGTAGAATCACATATATTTATCACAAATCACCACTTACTCCTTTTTATTTTGTAGACCACCCCAATGTAGATATAGATTGTCTCTACTGTTAGCGACCTGAATCTCTACCAGCGGAATAGAAGAGACTTTAACATCGACCTGTAACCAAAAATATGTACTGCTTTTTAGTTGATAGAATTCAATTAAAGTTTTATAATCGAATTCCCAAGGAATTCAAAAAGTGCCTCCTTCAAGCATTCAGATAGCCACATGAACATCTCAGATCTTAGTCCATAGATACCTGCATCTCAATATCTCCTCCCAAGATGTACTTTTCTCCCAGCTGCTTCAAGGAGAGAAAAAGAGTATTAAACCATGTATGGAATTAGCGTTTACAAGCCACAAGACAAAATATATCTAGAGTGATAGTGGCTGTACAAGTGGCTTTGACTTGAATAATTCTGCTTGGAAACTCGGATGCATATCAAGAATCTAGGAGGCTGAATCCAACAATAATAATGCTCATTTGGACGGAGCGAATTGTAAGGGCATAGTTTAGAGCTTGTTCTAAGATTATGTCTGCTGCATTTTCTTCATCTCCACCAACAGTACACAAACATTATCACCTTTGATGCAAAGTTACACTTCAAGACGATTCGATGTTAACTACATGTATGGCTTTTGAGTAGGGATAAGGATGTTACAAACTTAAGGCAAACGTTAAGGCAACTTACCCTCTCGTGTATATTTTGCTACCAAAAGATAAACAGACTATTCTGATTTACCTTGAATCCATCCTACTGAACCCTTTTACCAATCCAAAATGTCTAATCTCCTAAAGTAAGCTAATTACAACACATAACCGGTTGAACCTAGCAAAATAAGAAACATATTTCTTCTGACCCATAACAGAGGCTGCCGTTTCAATATCATATCTTTTATGGGAAGTCTGACTTTTAAACACCGCATTTCAGGATGGTTTTGACATGCATGTCTGACATGGATGGTCGTAGGTACTTGGTCCTTATGTTTCCTTCTTTCATATGGATATGTTATATCCAGGGAAACAAGCCGGGCTCTTTTATGAACTACTATAAAGAAAATGTTTGCTATCTGTGTCTTTACTTTACGTGAGCAATGCTAAATTTATCATAGATTAATATGTCAGCAAAGAAAGAATATCAAATAATTTTGTATCAGCAAGCAGTGAATGACACGTTTCTAGCAAATCACTGAAAGATCTTTACTGTACATTTTATGATTATAAAATATGTACTCAAACAAAAATGAAAAAAAATTGGATAACAAAAGCACATATTTCCATCTATAGCAGCATATTCAATTATTCATTATGTAAGACGAATGCAACACATATAATCAAAAGATAAGCATTAATTACCAGTGGCCTTTTGGCATTTGTATCTAACCGAGTTTTGGACTTGTGGGTTCAAGACTCAATGCCCTATGATACATGTATAATTGTATTTTAATTGTTTAAGCTTTGCAAAAAAAATCGCACATAACCAAAAGATAAGCATTAAATTATCCATGAAGCTTAATTAAAAAGGGGATAACAGTGCACTATAAGAAGCCATGATTATATAAAATTACAGCTAGAATCCATTGGAAGTAACCTAGAATCCTTGAGTTGATCTTACGAATAATGAAGTGATAAAAGAGTACCTCGGAAGTCTGATCGGTGGTTAAAACCGCTTGAACAAGACCAGAAACAACTACTCGGTTATCCCGCAATCCTGATTTCCGCACCTTCAGTCTATGACCACGGAAATCGCTCGATAATAAAGAGGACAAAGCCGACGACGATGACTTCCGTATCTGAGAAGTCACTTGAGCTTGAAACAAAGTATTTCCGGCAATGCACGTAGTAGAATTTTTCTGACTTTGATGCTTTAAAACCGTCGGTGGAAGCAAACAGTGCCCTATTGAATTGCTCATATTCCTATCTTCCTTTTATCGATTCAATGTCACTATCCAACAAAACCTCGGCACAGAGCAAGAATCAGTACCATGACTATAAGTACTTTCACACATCACAAGCTTCACAAACAAAGAATTCGCTCAAAATACACACTGTCTCTGTTCATTTCACATACATACATTGATCAATCAAGAAGAACAACAACATTAACGTGAAATTAACAAAAACAACACGAAAGTTCAAGTTTAATTGGATGAACGACTGCTAAATGCTCGAATTCAGCAACGAATTATGTCTGAAGTTAGATGAAATCTTACCTTTTGATCAGAACTATAGGGATATGCAACGTGTATATCTCGAAAACAGATATGGGTGATGGACGTTGAAGAGGGTGGAGAGGAGTACTATTTAGTAGAGTGCGGTTAGGAGGAGCTTCGAAATTTGGGGGAAAAAAAGACTTCCAAAGTCAATATATCAACAAAAGCCCTTGTATTTATGTTAATTAACTTAAAGCACCTTCATGTTTTGGATATTTTCAAAATGGTCCCTGTTGTTGTGTTACTTGTTCCATAAATAGACATGTTCAATGCATTTGCCACCAAGGACAAGTCCTTTTTATGGTGTTTTATTTTCAATACTATGTGGATCTTGAATGCATCATGGTCTTGATGAATTTATCTGTTTCTCTTGAAGATGATGACAAAACTGGGTTTTTGTTCTTCGTAAAACCTTATTCTCCATTTCCTCCATGGGATGGGGATGTGATGTAAAAAATGACTATGAGTAAATGAGACACGTGATAAGATGTTAAAAGCATTGTGAATATGATTTGGAAGATAATAACAGATAAAACTGAACATACCCTAAAAATATCACTAAAAAAACAAGGGGTATGGAATAGTAAGATACATGCATATCATATAAGCTTACACTCGTAGGGATAAAAAGATGGTTTCTATAACTAGGGGCAGATCCAGTTTTTGAGCATTGGAGGAAAAGACCCCCAGTCAAAAACCAAAAACCTTTGTTGACTAACTTAAATTTTTTATTTTCACTCCCGTCTTACATGGTTTTCCCCCAATCCCATATGACCATATGCTTCCCTCCCCCAAGTCTCATCCAACATATCTCCACCCCATTAATTTCCTGAATCCGCCATTGTCTATAACCACCCCCAACTTGCAAAACTTTAAAATAAGAAAAGATATAATGGATATATTAATAAATTAAAAAAAAAAACCTATTATTATTCAACCAGTGGAGGTGAAATAGATCGAAAACGACTGGAAGTAGACTTAAATTGATGTACCTCTAGTTCTTTCCTCTGTTCAACAATCTAAGTTTTTTTCACTAGTTTATGTACTTTTTTCTTGATTATGTTATACATATGAGAACCATATTACATGTTTCTTATGAGCGAAGGTTTTGTTTTACGAAATTCGTAAAGAACTTAAGGATTCGAGATTTGACAGTTATCTTTCTATAGCATCCACTTTATATAATTAAACGTTTTCAACCCACTTTTACAGGTTAATCGATTATAACGAGAATAAAAAGTTGTTCAAAAACCTCGAGTTGTTTTTCTTTATCTTTTATTCTACTGTAATACTTTCTTTTTTACCATCTCCCACATGAAAAAAAATACCAAGGCTTTCAAAAGTTCCAAGTCATTTTGATGTATGTTTGTTTGTTTCTTAATTAAATTTACCAGAAATACCCCCTCTTTTCAAAAAAAACTCATGGGTGTGATTGTAATTTAGTGAACTATAGGAGCATATAATGTGTGTCATGCCAAAATCAAGGGGGGATTATGTAACTTCTACATAATTAAAATACAGGACACGTGTCGCCTTTCGGCGCATGCACGACTGGTCGACACGGATAATCAAGCTTTATCACGTGTGAGATGCTTGAATAAAGAGGGACTTGCCAAAACTGGCTAAACGCGGTGGGCCCATGACTTCCTTTGATATTTATATCCTTACTTGTATTAAATGTCAATAAAAGTCCTTAAACTTTGGAAAAAAATTCAATTAACCCCCTAAAGATAATATATGCATCTTGGATTTTTTATTTTATTTTTTCATAAAATATCTTCCAAATGCAAGTCATAAAAAAATACTGTAAATGGTACCTTTTGTTTTATTTTCCACTTCATTTGTGTCATACGTTCATTTATTCAATTTTTTATCTGAATTTTTTAATTTTATATAGTATTTATATAAAGACAAAAATTATATTCAAGAACCAAATAACCAACTTTCAAGAAGTTTCATTTAAATAATTCTGATAACCAAAATCAAAGTTGGTTCTATTTTGATTCCACGAAATTAAAATTTTTGAAAGTGGATTATATGCAACAAATAAACTCATACACTCTCATCACTTTTGGTGAGGTTTGAACCCGTGAGCTCATAGGAGACAAAAAGACTACGATATCGTTAGGCTAAATGTCCTTTGATGAATAAACGTAATGTTGATTCCATTTTTCTACAATTTGTCATCGTATGAAGTATCCACGGTCCATTCTTTGTGAATATGATAAATTCATTTTCCCAGATGTCGGATTTAACCCATTCATAACTATCCCTTCCCTAACATTTGAGGGGTTGCCTCGGACAAAAAAAATTCTGAAAGACAAACAATTTATTAGAACCCAAACGAACGTATAAAAAAACGAAAAAAAAACTAATGCAAGCTGCAGAACCAACCCAAAACAAATTAACACAAAAACAAGATAAAACGGAACTAATCCAGACAGAAAATTGTTAACTCAGATTACTTATACGTTCACTTCGAATTTATGAGTAGCAAGTCGATTATGTAAATGGGAAGTAAGTGGGTCCCCACAACTTTTCAAATATGTTTGAAGTTGTTGATGGATCCAAGATTCTCCCTTCACAAATACTCCATTTGTTTTATCTTCGATTTCATATATTAAAATGGTCATCTAACTTTTATACTTTATGCAACAAAGACTTGTAATATACAATACTAAAAAGGTATTCGTGTAATGCATTGAGATATATATTTCGATTTTAATGTTCTTTTTTGTTTTTTATCTATGTCGATATAATACGATTTTATATGGTTTTGAGAAAGCGATAATGTTTTTATTTTTGAATAAAATATAAATTTGAAAATATCATATAAAATTTGCAAAAAATATATTAATATCAATATCAAATTAACTATTTAAAAGTTCTTATTTGTGTATTTATTTAATTCAAATTTTTTATTATAATTTAATTTATTGTAACGAAGTAACTTAATTTAGGTTTAATGATATATTCTTTTATAAAAATAATAATTAAGTATTCTGTTAGAACTCAATATTTATCTTAATTATATTTTAGATTTTTTATATTTTAAAATGAGATGTTTATCCTCTATTTGGTTATGTTTATCCGCAGTTAGTTACACTAATTCAAATATAGAGCTTTAATAAGTTGTATTTATGCGGAATTTACTTGTAATCTTGAATTTTAAGTAACTAGAAGCGTACTCGCGCAATGCAGCGAGATACATCATGATTTTAATATTTCATTTTATTCTTTATCTCAATCGATGTTATAATATGGCTTTATGTGATTTTAAGAAAGCGATGATATTTTTATTTTTGAATAAAATATATGTTTGAAGATATCATAAAAATTTGACAAAAATATATCGATATTAGTATCAAATTAACTATTTGAAATTCCTCATTTTATTGTG